AGGAGAAGAGTGAGGTCCTCACCTAACAACTGCAACCGGGACTACCGGAACTGCCGTCACTAAGTGGTGTGGTCACATGTTGTTTTGCCTAACAACTGCTTTGCTTAGTGATGGAAACTGTTCTGCAGATTGTCTTTTATGAGTGAAATGTAGTTCCAGGAAGCTGCAGTCATAAAAGGAGGAAGGATGGCTTTCCTTGCTAAATGCTTTTTCTCTCAGTCTCCCCTTCCTGTTTTTCTTCCTCCTGAAATTCAGATATAGGGCTGTAAGGATGGACATGCAAACTAATTTATAAAGGATGATGAATGATTGATCAGTTTGACTGACTGATTTCTAGTACTTGTGTAAGTAAAACCCACATAAAACAAAATACACCAGAATGAAAGGTAGTTCCAAATAGGAAACTATCTTTAGGTTCCAGTAGCTTGCTGGGAGAGCATGTTCACTGCCTTCTGGAATATCAGTATGGAGATCATCTGGATCACAGGATGGCAGCTTATTCCAGAGGGCCAGGACCATCACCAAAGAAACCTACTTCCAGGATCCCATCTCCCTAATCCCCAAGGTAAGGGTACCTATACCATTCCTTCCTGGCCTGTATGAACAGGGCAGGTATATTCTGCTTGGAGCAGGCAGGCCTGAAAGTGCCCTGGAGCCAAGCCATGTAGGGTTTCATCGGCCAATACCAGCGCCTTTGTTAGAAGAAGTTCGTTCCCAAGCTGGGCTACGATAAAAGGCAGGAAAACACTTGTGGGGGGATCAGGAAATTGTTTATTGCAGTAGAAGCCAAATCAGAGGATGGGCAATGGCCACACCGGGCCACTCCTCGCCACCTGTCTTATAGATTTCTATTTCAAAAGTTTACACCAAGCATTCACAGTGAGGGTGTAAGGCAGTGGACAATCACCTACGCCCTCTACTTGTTTACGATTTCTTAGCAAGGACCCCTTATGCACAGTTCCCCATCCTTATCTATGGTCAGCCCCAGTGGCCACAGAGGCAGCGCCTGCAGTAAACAACAACCCCTAAGTCTTTAAGCTTTTCACACAACTTGTGCGACATACTCATTTAGCCATGACAGAGCTAGCCCTCCCCTGCAAAATGGCCTCCCTATTGCTCATTATAACCTTTTAGCTTCTTACCAGTTCTTATGCAACTGTAGACATTATTATAAACAAATAAAGAAATATCCAACACTTTGACTTATATTCAGAGACCTAATAGCAACCAATGTAATGTCTTCAGGACAGATGTCACATTACCGCACCCTCTTTCAACCATTAGCATACAGGCTGCCAGAATTTTCTATTAATTGCAGTTTCCAGATAGTCCAGATACTGTACAGCAGCTTGCAGCCATTCAGTCCCAAGGTGGTGAGGGTGTGAGTTGCTTTCATTAAGGCCTCACACTCCAGAAAGGATTGCAGCTGGAGCACTGGTCATAGCGGGGCAACACCACCCCTGTTCATAGCCTCCAGCTGTCAAGGACCTGCTAGTTTGTGAGGTTCAAGCAACCACACAGTGGTTTCGGAACAAACAGCAACTCTCTGTTCCCAGAATTCCCTTCAACTTTTGTCCTGCCTCCGGACAGCAGGTAAGGGCTTCCTTGTCCGTTTGAAGAGCAGTCAAAGGACAACCCTCTATCTCAACTCATTTGCCACAGGAAAAGCTGCCCGGTCTAAGTCCAACTTACGAAGAACACACTTAGAATGAGCAGCCAACACAAATCTGGGCACAGTCTTTGGTTCTGTGGTGAACTGTTTGGATTCCTATTGAAACTATATTGAAATTTGCATAAATTAGATCACACACGGTTATTCAAATCTTCGTTTATCAGCACTGTGACTCCTTGTTTCTTTTTGGTGATGTAGAAGTGACCCTCAAAGGGGTTGCACGTACTGGCTTCCCATCCTGAATCTGTCGTAGAAATAGATAACATCCACTTCAGGCTACTATTACATTTGCAGGTCTCACTTTTGGTGAATAAGCCTAGTAGCCGGGGCACCCACGAGGAGTGGTCAGCCTCTAGATGGCAGACACAACTGGGCAACTGAAGCCCCACTCCTTCTGAACATGCTTTGCACACCTTGCGTGCATGTAGAAAAGGGTGAGGCTTTGATTGCCTGAGTTGTGGCTGTTGGTTTGACGCTGTTGAGGGCACCACTGCCCTGCAGATGTCCCGGCACAGCGGGGTCCTTATAATTCTTATTTGATGTCTTCTGCGTTTGACTTACCTGAACTTCCAAAACAGAAAGAACAAAAAACAGAAGTGAAACGGTGTGGGGATAGAATTGCTACTATGCCACTCAAGTTCAGAAATGAAATAATTGTTTGCATTTACTTTTCACATTTTGGAATGTATTTTTGTTCATTATACAAATCAAGTCTTTATTGTTTAAATGGATAAAATGACAGTATTGTACATACTAAACACTAACCTCATTGTACCAAGGCAAGTTGTTTATTTGGCCCATTAGTCTGTATGACCCCAGAGAATATCTTTTTGCAAATAACAGTCTTCTGGGTATGATAAGAATTCAATCAACACTTAATCTTCACTCTGAGAACACACACCTATTACTTTCAGTGTGAAATAAAAATGTGTGTGTGTGTGAGCACACATTTATTGAAATTAATATTTGGGAAGAAATAAACTGAATGAATAGTCTACTTTGCTTTCCAAACTAGTGAAGTAAACAACTTCCCTTTTATCCCAACTATATTCAGCAGGTATAGTTTTTACTTGTTGCATAATGAAAAACCTGAACATATTATATTTGCACTGTTACATACATATACACACACACACACACACACACACACACATCCCACACACATAACAACAGCATATGGCGAGATTCTTAACAATCTGAATTCAGTTGCAGTTTCCTTCCAAGAATAGCTTTCAGAATGGTCAAGCTTGGTACAAACATCTCTTGTCTTTCTGCAGTTGAGTAAGTTGTCCCTCCCACCCTTGCAGTCAAATTCTAAGAAATCAACAGTTAAACTAAGCTTGGAATATCAGCCTTCCTGGTTACTTTCCTGAGCTTGTATATATTCCAGTGCAAATATTTTACTCTGAAGTAATCCTATCGACTTCAGCAGCTTTGGTATGATTCTTCTTTGATAAATGCCTGTGAAACGTCTCACTTATCAAGGCACGATTTGGGGTGTTTGTTTGCTTACAAGAAAAACTGCAGTTGAAAAACTTGAGTTGAAGACATCAATAATTTGGGTCAGCTCTAAGCTGTTTCAGTTGCCGTGCCTGCTGATTCCACACACAAGGTTGTTAGCATTACAGAACCAGACCCAAAAGAAGGGTCACTTGCTTTATATACAATTAGTGATTATTATTTTCATGTGAGGTTTGTATTCCACTAGAGAAGAAAGCAGAAAGAGAAAAGGAACTGTGCCAGAAACAGTAAACCATTGCTTCAGGGAGAGTAAAATGAGTCGACACCGACTTGATGGCAGAGAATCCATCCATCCATCTCTGAGTGAAGCCATGTGCTTTTCTTAATAACTACATGGGATTGGTTTGCTATTCTCGGTATGTTGCTTGATTTCCCAGTGTAGTTTACGGTATACCCCTGGGATTATTCTGGTGATCTTTCATTCAAACACTAACCAAGTCTGACTCAGTTTTTTGAGATCAGCCAAGGCATACTAAGTGCAGGAAGGGCTATTTATTTTCCTGTTATAGTACTTGCACAAAGGGCAGAGAGATAGGTCATATGAGCATTTGGATATTGCAATGATACATGAAGCAGCACGACACACACACTTTAAACCTTTGTGGCTAATATCAACAGAGCAGTACATGTATCCTAAAACAATAACAATAAGAATGAATCAATTTAAGGTGGGGCATATTTCTGAAAACACGCTACCCTATATGTATTATTCAGCCCCATATGTATTGCTCAGCTCTTAATTGGACAAGGGGCTACAAGAAGTGAACAAGTTCCTCCATTCCAACAGACATTCTTACACAATTTGCTACCTGGAGCAGAGCATTAAATCACCGTCCACATGGCATCAAGATACACTACCTAAAATCACCCAAGAGGTTTTTCTTATTTTGGCAGATGAGGCATCAAAGTATGAGATAGCAGTTGCCTCATTCTGCCTAACAGTAGGGCCAGCCCTGCATTGAGCATGTAGCTGGAAACATGAATTATTCTATTTGTCGTTGTGAAATTGTTATCCAAGCTAAGTCTGATTCATTACAAGCCTCTATTGTGAAGCATTTAAGAATATGGGCAGTGCTATTAAGCTTTTAAACCAAAGGGATGCAACTTTCATCAGCCAGAGGCCTGCACCACAATTTGGGCTGAATGTCAAAGGTGGTCCTCCAAAAGGGACAAGGACAAAAAACATTGTGGGAAAGGGTTTCAAACGTTTTAAGGATGAAGTGGGTTCCTTAAGTATATGCAAGGCTAAAGGCAACAGTTCTGCACCTTAAGTATCCTCTGAATGAAAAAAGTTTTTGGTCCCATCCATTCTGGAAGGGGCCACAAAAGAGATGCTTGTAGCAACATGCAGTCTCTGAACTGCACCTTTTCCTTTTCTGATGTACACTGAATTGGCTTCACATCATATCACCCAACTTCTGTCTATTCATCCATGATTGGCTTAAATTACCTCGGAAATAAATCTGTGTCAACAGAAGCAGTTTCAAACAGCACGCAGGAGAGAAACAGCACACATGGATTTTAATGGAACGCTTTGTTCTATCCTGAAATTTCTCCTTTGCCCAAGAATTTTAGGGAGCCAAACATTGCAAAGGTGTATAGCATTCATGTAACCCTACTTGACACAGCAGTTCCTCTCTCTCTCTATTAATCATTTTTATTTCCAAACCTATGGAATCACTGGTAAGAAAAATATTGCAGTTCAAATGCTGAGCTACAGCTGAGTAATAGCTAAATATCCATGGTGTTGTAACATTACCATATGGGGAGGCCATAAGAACTTAGTAAAACACACAAACCATTTTTATAAAGCAACAATTTTGGTATTTAATGCTAGTTATCAAATTTAAAACTTTATGTCAAACAATATCAACATTAGTATGATTTTAAGTTACACTATGAACACCATCAAAGAAGGAACTTTTTATATAAATGACATGTGCTCAAATTTGAAAATATAATCCCCTATAGGTATCTATTCAGAAACAATTTCCAGGGAGTTTGGTGAAATTTACCCCAACATAAGATCATCTGGGACTGCACACTAAGGTACAGCCTTGTTAGTTCAGATATATAAATCACTCATATAAATCACTGAGAGATCTTAGTGATTTACAAGGGAGTGAATCCAGATTTAGTCATGCATAAAGGAGACCCACTGTGAGCAATAAGGCTTTATTTGGTAATGCCTAACTTAAGTCCTATTGATTTTAATAAGCCTATCTAAGCATGAGTAAGGATCAAATCTAGTGGTGAAATTCTGGTGGCAGAAGTTTGGCTAGCAAAACAGTTGTCCCCATCAACACACCATTCAAAACTGCTCCAGAAGATGTCTTGAATGGGATTTAAGGCACACCCAGTGATGGGAAGTCCCACTGTACCAGCCATAGTTATGTATCCAAATTTGTATCCAAATCATTGCATTAATACATATTTAAAATTCACCAAGGAAAAGCTCTTCTTGTATAAGATTGCATTGGATGCTAGTTCAGCTAAAAAACAAGGAGCAGCTATTAAACTGAAATAATTTTAACATCAGGAGCATAATATACAACTAGAATAATATATATTTCATACAAAAATAATAATGACAGAGCTCACACATTGATCCCTATGCGCCGTTTCAGACACAGACCTGTTTCACAAAACACAGAAGTCTGCTTAAAACAGTTTACTGAAGAAGTCGCAATGGCTAGGTTCATGCATACCAAGATGAAACAAACAACATATTATTCAGCTTAGTGTGAGGCATGAATCTAACATAAGATTCCCTGAAATAGTTATCAGGGATTAATTTTGTGTTCCCAGGACCACCAAAAAAGAGAACAGTTGCATCAGTATCAGCATCATCTTCTTCTTCATTCTGAGTAATAAACTTGGATTTAACAGAAGGGTCCATGTTTTCAACAAGTGGACTCTTGCATCTGACACTTGGTAATACATCAAAATACAGCAATGCACCATGCTCCTTTTCTGCACAAATAGATGCTGTTCAGATACCTGTAGCAGAGAGCTCTGCAAACTAACCCCCTGGGTCCTACAAGGAATTTTCTGTTCCAAGATAAAACCAAGACTGTGCTTCAGGTACAGATACCAAGGGAAACTGCAGAGAATTTTCAATAATTTCAGTGAATCTTAATTTAAGTTTAGGATTATAGGCGCAGTATTGAGCAGGATATTCACATTTCAGAGTTGAAAGCTATCCTGGAGCAATGACATTGCTAAATATGTCCATGTTTGTCAGTGATGGCAAGCTGCATTTACAATTTATTAATATTTATTAGCATTATTAATCCAATTAATATAATTAATGTGGGTTCTATAGATATTTTTAGACATTCAGTGCCAGGATCTTAAATTATGAACATGAGGCAATTTGCATGCCACATGGATGGCTGGATCCCATAGACTGATGTTTGTTCATCAATCTATTTTGTAGGGTAAAAACATTTTTGTTAAAGAAACATTAAAATTGCATTATGTGCAATTTTTTAAGAGTTGAGAAATTGATTGGATAAAGTCAAACAGTAAAAAAGAATATGGTCAACTGTATTTGAATCTATTACTCAAGAGAGTAGCAGGTAGATTCACTTAAAAACACAGACTGAACCAAATCCTAGAGAATACCTTTACCTTGGGTTTTCTGAAAACAGTTACAATGAAGAGCTACAAAACGCAGAAGCCAGTGAGGCAAAGTAAGTGCCAACTCAGCGTTAAGGTAAGGACCAGGGGTTTATTTCTCCTTTTTTTCCAGATATGAACCTTGGAGTCAGAGTTGAACGATGGGGGAAGATTCTTTCTGTCCTCTTCTATGCTCGTTGACAGGGCACCTGTTGGATTTGCCATCACTTCCAAAAACATGGCATCAACTTTCTAAGCCTAGTAGTTTTCTTTTTTTAATGTAATACATGTTTGTAACTTTCACCAGTAAGCAAAAAAAGACAACATGTGGTTACAAAATATAGGGAAATATGTTAACATGATTTTGTTAAAGAGTTAAAATGAGAAATCAGGTTTAATTATAAAGGGAGGGTTATGCCTTATGTATTGTTCTCTCTGCATAAAAAAAAAAAAGCGTGCAAGTGGAAATTGTATTCTGATACTCTGCTTTGGAGTGAAGGGAATGCCACAGGTGCTCATTCTTATATCCTGGATTTCAAATTTTTATTCAGATATTGAGCCCAATAAATCTGTGTTTCCTGCAAGAAAAAATAGATACAATATTGCACTATTTTTTTTCTATTGCTGCAATGTTCCCCATACTGCAAAGGGAATGCAAAATTATTTTTAAAGTCTAAAAAAAAAAAAAATTAAAAAAGTGGACATTTTGGAAAATGAAGAGTGAAAGTGCATCTGGATTGATGGGAAATACAATGTGACCATTATATATGGCCTCTCCATGTTGGCTAAATGAAGAATGATAGAGTATCAGCACACAAAATGTAATGAAATTAATGTTTTTGGTAAAACATGAGATCACAGACAACATCTGTATAATTGTTCTGATGGTGCCTGCAGGGTAGCAACACTAAAAGATGTGCAAAGGAAATCAGAAAGACAGTTGGGAATGAAACTGTGATGTCTGTTGGGCAAATCAATATTTTGGCAAGTTTGCTTTGCTAACCATTGTCAGTATTATGCGATGTGATAATATCATACAGAGACCCTTTTAGACACCAAAGAACTTGTAACTGGCTATAAATATGATGGCTGATGAAAGCTTCACTGCCATCTAAGCTTATATTACAATAATGCAATATAACATAACATACAATAATATGAGCACAATGTTCTGAGGCACAAGGTGTGAATTTTAAGTCTTTTACTCCAGAGTAATCCATGATCATGATTCTGAAGCTGATGAGGTTTTTCAGCAAGTTAACTCCAGAGTTATCAGTGTTCACTGCTCTTAAACAAATGAAGAGTGTTGCCAAAGGTCTCAGTCCGATCAAACTACTGCCTAATTTAACAGTAGGCACCGGTCTCAAGCCACAACCAACCAAGAGGATGTAGGGAAACAGGACCAGAACTCCTCTGATCCCAATTCCTGAGAACCACACATTCTCAGTAATGTTTAAATGGAATGTAATGTAACCCGTGGCTGTCCAGATAATGAGGAATCCCATTATATAGGTCCTTAATTAGGAGCTTCTTTTCAGGTTTCTCACTAAATACAAGCATCTAGGAATAGGGTGGTTGCAAACCAGGGCATAGTCCCCTTGTCCTATGCACAGGTACACTAAATGTATGGAGAAATATATCTATACTATACAATTGTATAGTATATAATAATTTCATTATACTGTGGACAATATGACTTCAGATAGCAGGTGGATAACTCAATGGTGTTTCCCCCAACATCAAAAAATAAAAGTTCACACACTGGAAAAGTTACAGATGAAAAACACAAGTTATTGTCTTTTTAGAAGAGAACAAACTATTTCAAGATGGTGGGGTATAGGAGAAATTGACTTTGCTTTTGGAAAGATTCAAGATTATTTTTTCTTAAGTGTTAAATATCTGTCTGTTTCAGGGGACTGAGCTAAGAGTGGCTGGACCTACTGAGAGCCATTCTTAAGTAGCATCTTTTTCAGAGATGTTAATTTTGAGTTTTACATCAGAAACAGTCCAGTCCTATGATCTTGTAAATTGTGAAAACTACTAAAATCTAACAATAGAATATCAACTTATGAGGTGGCCAGCTCCAAAGTGCAAATCAAATAGTATTCTGAAAAATGTTTCTGTGACCCAAAGAGTTGCATGCATATGGTAATGCTTGAATCCCTGTGTGGCTGGAGGCTACAAGCATCTGGCTCTTCATGCCGTCAGGATCACTACATTTAAGTTCCAAAATAGCTAGCAAGTGGTAAATACCTGGCTGATTCTTCCATCCAGGAGTGCCTTATGACAACCATACAAATTGCTGGAGCAACTATCCAATTGGCTCCTTAATCTTCCAAGCCTAGTGAGCTGAATCAGATCACTGACATATATGATGCCACTTTACATCATTCTGAAGGACACCTGTTCTAGATTATCACTTTATAAGCTCTACTTTATTAGCCCTATCATTTCTGCTCTCCTCCCTCAAAGACATGCTTGGCATCCTTCTGAAGGGATCACATCTTTATGTTCACTATTCCCAAAACAAGGGATGGGAACTCTTGTCACAAGAGGGAAGCATACTGACCCAGAATACTTGGAGTTGTAAGTTCTTAGAAAATAAATTTCAATGCAAAATCAAGCACTTTAAGGCCTGCGATCCTGCTTTCAATATGGTTATGGAACTCTTTCTTCTCCTTTCTATACCCATCTTGGACAATCTGAAAGAGATCAAAGTGGCTATAATTCTATGGGTCTGGTTCACAGAAAGAGTTATTTCTGATCTCTACAGCCAAGTGATTTCAACCTGAGATTCTTCCACATTTTCTTGGAGATGTCAGCAATAAGACTCTTCCTGCTTGCCTTGGAAGACATTTTCAACTTTTTCTACATGCTTCTGGAATGACGGTTTTAGATATTTAAGTCTACAAAGTTTGCCAAAGAGTTTTGAGAGAGAGAGAGAGAGAGAGAGAGAGAAAGAGAGAACACTAATGAAATGACATATTCATAATGGGCTCCCATAATAACAACCACCATAATATTCTGTTGTTAAGTTTACTTTTTGCCATGGGAAAGGATACTCAAAGTACTTCCTTTTTGTTGAACTTTTTCCTGCCAGATTTCTGCCCAGCCTCCTTTGAGGTAACAGGTCTGGTTGGAATGATGCCATGCTAAACCAGCTGTGCTCTTTCTCCATCTGTTGATTTCCCCATATATACTGCTTTTAAATTGTGGTTTCAAAAACTATTGCTGGTTTTGTACTTCCTGTTTTTAGAGTTGTCATTCTTGAACTTGTCAGCTTACAAAGCAGCTGAGCTGCTACATGTGGCTTACTCTTCTGCTTCAGTCAGCATAGTAATTTTCAAATTGCCACTTTTGATGATTATTGTTGGAAAAACAAATGTTAGCTCTCAAGACTTTCTGATATTGATCCACTTCCAAACATGTGGCCCTTGAAAGGTGTTCTAAAACAATGTGATCCATCTACAGAGAGGAGAGAAGACAGTGACAATGGGTTATATGCACATAGCTGAAAAGTAAGCCATTGATTTAGGACTAGAAAAGCTCTGCTGTGTTTCCTGACATTCATCATTTATAAGCAGAACAGGGTCACTGGACAGGAAGTATACAACATGCCTATCTGTTCTTGGACTAGAGCCTCAATGTGGCAAAGCCTGCTAATTCTCTTGCTAATTCTCTGAAAATTCAAAGACATCTCTTCCCATCTAAATGGTAATTGTCATACAAAGGAAATTATACCATATGGCTTTTGCAATAATGGGTAATTTAATGGCAGGTGATTTTGCCCTCTGGATTGCAGTATTAGTCAGCTGATGAACTAGGAGACATATCACAATGAAAAGGTTCTAATGGAAGGACAACTCCATGATTATCCCAAAGAATAGGTTGCTCTGGTGATTTTTCTTTATTTTCAGTATGACAGCCATAAGATTGGCTTGTAAAAAACAGAAAAGAAATCCATATTTTGGTTTCATATGACAGAGATATCTTTAGGCTGCATTTTTCCCATAAGCCTGATAGTTCTGTTCCTTCAACATCCAAAGTTCTCATAAAAACTAATCTGATCTTTTGCCGCAACAGCTAAAGATGTATGGCTGAAGCTTGATGTTAGCTCAGTATTGTATGAATGCAATCATATGTGTCCAATTGTGCTGAATTGGGTATCACGGTTTAGTGGGAAAAAAATTAAAAAGGAATCCCCCCCCCAACTTCATTGTGGCAAGAATTGATTTTCCATATGAACAATCAGCCAGAACTGGAAACTGGCAAGCTATTTTGTAACTTAAATGGATGACGCTTTTTCTTAAACTTCCAGGAAGTCTTTTAGCTTAAGACAATGTCTTTTCCTTTTTAAGGAGTTCTGTATGATGGAGGAACAAATGGAAGGCAACTTGATACCAAGACTGGGTATAAAATTACTGATGAGATACTCTAATGGCTGTAATTGACCTCCCGCACAAGACCAAAACATATCCCGCCCTCCTCCAATTTTACATGCAGAAAAATCATTCCAATTTACCTTGGGATTTTCTCAGCATTAAGAACAATTTCTAGGTCCTGTAGCTATGAAGGGTAAAAAAGATTTTTTTTCCTTTTCTAAATATGGTCATTAGAATGGTTTTTAGATCAGAACAGTTTGGTAAACCTATTTTTGGATTATAAATACAGTGGTACCTAGGGTCACGAACGCTTCTGTTTACGACCAATTCGGGTCACGAACAGCACTGTTCACAAAATTTTGCTTCTGTTCGCGAACGCCGGATCGGGTGACAAACAGGATCTGCGGCCATTTTCCCTGTCATGACATGTGGTCGTGGCTTCCTGTAGGGAGGGGGACTCTCCCTCCAAGCAATAACCGCCTCCTCACCCGCCTTCCCGTCCTCCACACCAGAAGTCGCGTCGAGCAAGGTTAGCGTTCTCTCTCCTCATACTGTACTTTGTGTCATATTTTTGTGGTTTAAAAAAAAAAAAATACATATGGTTCAGAATGGATTAATCTTATTTACATTAAACCTTAGGGAAAAATTTGATTCGGGCCCCGACCAATTTGGGTCGCGACCAGAGTCGCGGAATGAATTAAGTTCGTGACC